AGGCGAGCCAAAACATCAACTTTTCATTTGCATTGTGGGTTAATTGAGAATTCCATTTTTTATGTTAATTACTGACGCTAACAGCTGCTAGTTCATTGTGTGTCGGCAGGTCATTATGTGAAAACCGGTTGAAAAAGTACCACACAGGACACAAAGGATCTTTATTATACCCAAATTGTCAGTCAAAACTTTGTATATTACAGAGTTATATCATTGCATATTTTAGCCCCCCTCACCTCGTATAATTGTTCATTTGTGTTTCTGATACAATATTTGGATAAAATCTCAAGCTCACTGGTATATTAACAAATGGATGCGCAATACATTTTTATATTTTTGCTTTATAACTAATGGCTGGATTACATTATCATATTACAACTCTCTGATCGAGTTGAGAGTCTTCAGACTTTTGAGATCGCTAGTGTCGTGGTTCATTGGTTCTTATGAGTCTATAAATTAAATATATACATACATGTTGCTGCACAGTGTACCTAGTGAATTAGACATTAACCATAGTCACCATCACCATAGAACATAACACTGGAAATTAAAACAAAAATTGAAAAACATTAGCATACATGATACTCACCCAGGTAAACAACACCTACCCAGCAACACAGAAGTCACATGACCTCATTGTTTACCTGACCTCATCCCAGGTCACTATGTGTCACTCACACCTCACTCTCCGATATATATATATATATATATATATATATTATATAATATATATATATATATTATAATATATATATATATATATATATATATATATATATTATATGTATGTCGTGCCGAATATGTAAAACTGGTCAATTAGCAAGAACTCATTTAAAATTAAGTCCTTTCTAAAATTTTCTCTTATACGTTTAAAGATATATTTTTTTCATTAATGTTAATGTAATTTTTTTTAATTTTGTACCAAAAGGAACTTAGAAAACTTACCTAACCTTATTATAACAAGAGCAATTTATTTTAGCCTAACCCAACTAAATATACTTTAGATTTGTTTACAATAATTTAATACTAAACAAACCCTGTGAAATATATTTTTTTCGTTAGGTTCAGAATGATTTTGACGAAATTATTGCATACACAAATTTTCACTTGTCCTATATGGCAAGATGAGCGTTGCTATTTAAGCCAAGATCGCAAGTTCTGCCTATTCGGCACGACATATATATATATATATATATATATAGTCATATTAACCCCTGTGTTACAAGTGATTAAGGTCCCAGGACCAAAACGTTTTCAAACAAATATGTCCTCCTGTTTCGCTCACGTGTCTTTTTAACTCAGTTTGCCTGTAAATATTAAAAATGTTTATACCATACTGAGATAAGTACTTTTCCTCCACGTGAATATACACAGTTGCTCTCAGCACACATACGTCAGTAGAGTTATACTCATCAAAATATGTATGAAGCGAAATATAATTATTAGATTCTTTAGGGTGTAGTGATATCATGTTAAAGAATAATTCCTTTAAGGGGAGGTAAGCGTGATAAAACCATACCACGGGTGGGGTTAGAACCCGCGATCAGAGAGTCATAAAACTCCAGACCAACGTTGCCATAGGGTAGATTTAATGGAAGAATGGTATATCAAAGAACAGATTCTGAAAGGGTGAGCATGATGTCAAAGGGTAGATTCTTTAGGTAAATGGGTGAGTATGATGATGTCAGAGGTTCTGTTCTTTAAGGGAAGAAGGTTAATATAATGACGTCAAAATGTTAACAGTTGTAGTATGACTTAAATGCAGATGTGGTGCAGTTACATTATATTATAGGGAAACAGGTGTTATTTCAGTTCATTTCTGTTCTAGTGTCAATTATGTAATAGTAATTGTATGATAATTATTTTCATTAATGCGATTATTTACTATCAAAATTTTCTTGTTTCTAACAAAATTATGAATATAGTTTTTATTTTAAATATTTTTATTTTTATATTATTAATTTTTATGAAGCTAATTCTGCCTCGCTCTCTAACATCACTACCACTCACCACGACTCTCTCACCATCACTACCACTCACCACAACTCTCTCACCATCACTACCACTCACCACAACTCTCTCACCATCACTACCACTCACCACAACTCTCTCACCATCACTACCACTCACCACAACTCTCTCACCAACTAACATCACTACAACTCACTGCAACTATCTGATCTCAAAAAGTCTTACTGGATTCACTGCTGTTACTCTTGTCAGGAGAGACTTTGCTGTTTGCTGACATATTGCTGTGTGTTTTCTATCCTTGTTTTAGGGGGATGGACTGTGTTCCTGGCGAGACACGAGCAAACTAAGCAGGAGAACTTTGCCAGGAGCTGGCAGGATTATATGACAGGCTTCGGTAACGCGTCCTCGGAATACTGGCTTGGTGAGTGAGAGAGCAGCAGCAGCAGCAGGAGCTGATACGTAAAAAATGATTGCAAATATATGCAAATTGCCAAACACTATACAAGATCAATTGTCCTTAGTTGTGAAGTGCCTTAAATTTGCCCGACTGACTTCAGAGATTTCAAATGAAGCAATGTTTTTTCGTCACTCATCTTCTAGTCACAATCACCATCATAACAGTTACTAATTATCCTAACAATCACTTCCAGGTAACGAAATAGTTCACAATCTCACCACCAGGAAGCCACACTCACTTCGACTAGAAGTGAGGAATTACCAGGGGGAGCAGCGATGGGCCATGTGGAACACCTTCAGCATCGCCTCAGAGCAGGATCAGTAGGTCTTGGGGAGACGCACAAAAGGGAATTGGGGCAGGGCTTATAATGTGCACCATGACAATAAAAATAAGGATAATGTTGTTACATTTTTGGATTTAGAAAAGGCATATAACAGGGTGGATATGGCAGATGTTGCAAGTGTTTGGAATAATGTATATGTTATAGGTTACTTAAAAGTTAAGAATTTTTATGTGGATATTGACGCTCAAGTTAGGGAATATATGAGAGAAGGATATTATTTTCCAGTAACAGCAGGAATTATCCAAGTATGTGTGATGCCGCCATGGCTGCCTAACATATTAATAGACTTAGTTTTAAAAGGAGTAAATACTACAGGGTTGAAAGAGGTGTGGAATTAAAAGATAACGAATTTGATATGGAGTTATAGTGGCCACTGTTGTTTTTTGCCAATGACACGGTTCTTTTGAGAACCGATGAGAAATTGCTAACGTTGAAATAATTTTTAGGTTATGCAAAGGGTAATCAGAGGCAAACATAGAAAAAGGCAAAGCGATTAGAGTAAGAAAAAACTGAGATAATGAAAGATTGGATATCAGATTGGAGTATGGAGGAAGTAATGTGTTCAAATAATTGGGAGCAGACTTTTTGGTGGATGGGTCTATGAAAAATGGTGCAAAATAAAATTGACGAGGAAAAACGGTTGGTGATGCATTGAGGCGTCTGTGGAGACAAGAACTTTCAACCCTGGAGGGGAATAAAGGAGAATGAACCGAAGTATAGCGACACCATCACTTTTATACGAGTGTGAAGGATGAATTTTAAACATTTCATTATGGGGGTTGTTGGCAGTTCGAGATGTGTCTGCAGGTAATGTGCAGAGTCTGCAGGGAAGTCTATGCTTAGATATTCAAATGTGTGGCTTTACGAAAAGTATTCAGAGTGCTGAGCTGATGCTGTTATTGTGGTTTAGCCATATAGAGAGAATGAAGCAAAAGCAAGTTACTAAATAAGGTGTATAAATCTAGGGTGGAGGGGAGGACGAATAGAAGTCACAGGAAAGGTTTGAGGGAGGTGGTCAAAGTTTTTTTTCGTGCTAGGGAGCTTGAGCATCCAACAGGCTTGTGTGAGCGTGTTAGTTTAGTCAAGTTGGATAAATTTAGATTTAGAAAGGACATAGGTAAGTACTGGTTTTCTAACAGAGTTGTAGATGCGTGGAAGTCTTCCCAGTGGGGTGATAGAGGCTAGGACCTTGGGTAGCTTTAAGAAGAGACTGGACAAATATATGAGTGGGAGGGGCTGGGTTTGATTGGTGTCATGGGGTACGGGAGTTATTTCTTGGGTAGCTATTTGGGTAGTTATTTCTTTGGTCGTTTTGATAAGGACCTGTCTCGTATGGGCCAGTAGGCCTTCTGCAGTGTTCCTACATTCTTATGTTCTTATGTTAAGTGGGTTAAATGACGATGTTATGTTGGAGTGTGAGCAAGATACCATCCATAGAGAGATTCGGAGAAACCGGTTCGCCGGACTTTAGTTCTACAAGTGGGAAGTGCAGTTCCTGCATTCTGAAAAACCTGAGACTCTGAGTTTGAAGAATCAACTTAACATTGATACCATCACGCTTCTTGCAAGACAATTACTGAGTGACGATACGAGACGCTTGATGTTTAAAATGATCAGTCTTCATATTATTTTTCCGTAATAAAGTTGGTAGAATTACCGACAATATGTAAAGTAAAAGGACACAAGTGCAACTAATGTGACATTAGTTGCACTTGTGTCCTTTTACTTTACATATTATTTTTCTCTTGTATTGTAATATTTAAATCAATAGTATGCTAAAATATTACTGACAGGCTGAAGACTGACAAGTCTTGGGTTTTTAAACAGCTGACCCACTGAACGATGGGTCAGCACGCTTCTCATCTTTGGACTTAAAAAAAAACCATACCCCCGGCCGGGATTGAACCCGCGGTCATAGAGTCTCAAAACTCCAGCCCGTCGCGTTAGCCACTAGACCAGCTAGGCCACAATAAGATTCATCCAACTAGGTATATTTCTACACCATAGGAAAGTTAGCACAGGCACCTCTGTGACCACAAATGCAAGTTTTTACAGACGAATCTCCAGCTAGCGTGGCCGTGACGATGAATCTTATTGTGGCTAGCTGGTCTAGTGGCTAACGCGACGGGCTGGAGTTTTGAGACTCTATGACCGCGGGTTCAATCCCGGCCGGGGGTATGGTTTATTTGCAATCGTGTCATTACGATTTCTTGAGTCTCTTTGGACTTAAATACTGTAGTCCAAAACTCATTCCCAGGCCAACAGTGTGTCAGCAGTTTACCTTCATGAACTTTTCTTCCTTCAATTTTCATTTTTTTCTCTCCTGCAGTTTTTTAATGTCTTCCACAGCCCTTTAACTATTGAAATTCTTCTAAATAAATAAATTTAAGAACAGTGAACAAATTCAGTGTAAAAGAATGATTATATAAATGTAAAGTCTATCTCTCACCTCCATCTAGAAGGAAAATAGATAAACTAATTTTGGCAAATTTTTGTTTGACCTTCACAAAATTTTGTAGTGAAATCAACCTGGTAAAACCAAGCTAAAATATCATAATACATTTAGCATATTGAAGAAGTTGAATCTCATAAAAAATGTTTTATGGTTGAGGAGAGTTGGGGAAGGAGGATTAGATGCTCCCATATAAACAGGATTTCAGGAATTATCTAAATTTATAAAGCATTACAATGACAAGTGATATATAGACCCTTAATGCAATGAAGTCTTTATTGATAGTTTCACCCACCCAGTCGGGGGTGAAACGTTGTTGCAATAAGGCCTTCACTACAATATTTATCGCTACTAACAATTGGTTGATGTTGTCAGGTACAAGCTGGAGATGGAAGGCTACGACAACACCAGCAGCCTGGGAGACTCAATGACAGGAGAACATTCTCTCCAGAACACGAAGTTCTCCACCCTCGACAGAGACAATGACAACCTCACCTACGGTAACATATTATATAACTTTTACATTAAGGAAACTGGTCATTAATTATCCCTGAAGGGGGACTTTTAAGAGATTGCCATTTTTTTCTTCCTCCACCTTTTAAATTATATTTTGCTCGTAACTTAAGAACGCATCATTCAATCGGCTTCAAATTTTTCATCATTTGTGTATGGTGACGAGGAGCGCTAAATCCGTAGCATTATACAGCGCATGTGGGGGGAGGGGTGGAATGTATTCAGGCTCAATTCAGAGAACCGGAGCACAGATTCAGTTCCCTAGATCAAGAGCCCCTCACCATCAAAGGAGGTTCTTTGATGGGAAACCTGTTTCCAGCATTCTGGAATGACTTAGATAACTTTAAAAAGCCTCAGCGGAGTTGCGTCGAACGCTGGAAAACGGCTCCTAAAAATTCGACGATGGCAGAGAGTAATATTTACATTCGAGGGGAAAAATAATGTAAAAAAAATGTAAAAAAAAAAAAAAAAAATTATTCCCGTTGAATCAAGTTAAAAAATTTTTAGTTTACCTCTTCTGAGCGGCTTTAGCATTTAATTGCTGAAGGATAATATTAAGACACTTTGATCGCGGGTTCTATCCCCGCCCGTGGTATGGTTTGTTTGCAATCGTGTCATTACGATTTCGTGAGTCATTATTAAGTATTGTTTACGTAGAGGAGTCACATGATCTCATCGTCTACCCGTCCTCATCCCAACATGTCATTCTTCAGGTCACCATGAGTCACTCACACCCCATTCTTCAGGTCACCATGCGTCACTCACACCTCATTCTTCAGGTCACCATGCGTCACTCACACCTCATTCTTCAGGTCACCATGCGTCACTCACACCTCATTCTTCAGGTCACCATGAGTCACTCACCTCATTCTTCAGGTCACCATGCGTCACTCACACCTCATTCTTCAGGTCACCATGCGTCACTCACACCTCATTCTTCAGGTCACCATGCGTCACTCACACCTCACTCTTCAGGTCACCATGCGTCACTCACACCTCACTCTTCAGGTCACCATGCGTCACTCACACCTCATTCTTCAGGTCACCATGCGTCACTCACACCTCATTCTTCAGGTCACCATGAGTCACTCACACCTCATTCTTCAGGTCACCATGCGTCACTCACACCTCACTCTCCGCTTATATATAATGTCTTTCTACCTCTGTATGTTAGAAGTGATCAAGGTCCCAGGACCGAAACGTTTTCTAATGTCAGTGTTTGCTTACGTGTCTTTCTAAACCAACTTGTCGGTATTTATTACTAAGGTTTATACCATAGCATTATTTTACCTTACATTACTTTTCCTTAATTCTGGTGAGGGGCTTTTGATCCAAGGAACCGAACTAATGTTTTTCCATGGTTTGGATAGAATCCAAATACCTCCCATTCCACTGGCGCTATATTACCCTTACGGGTTTAGCTCTTTCCTCTGATTAAAACAACGGTTATGAACGGCATCAATCTTCATCGGCTGATGCATCAAATGGATGGAACGTTTGATGGGTTTAGGCTGTGTAGGCACAAATTTTGTTGGATTCTGTGCAATAACTGGAAAAACGCTTCTTCTGGTCAGTTCTAAACTTCTAGTTATAGGCCAGTTTAATCAATCAAATTGTTTTCTGTAAAATGTCTCTTGATATCATTTGATATAATTTGGTTATCTTAGACTAAGTTATTTAATGTTCTCGTATGTGCCTACAACATCTATGTACTTTTAAGACCATTGTTAAAAGTTCGTATGTTATGTACGCTAAGCTTACATAAAGCTTACTTTACTTGCTTTCTTAAAAGCTTTCTTAAAAGTCGGTGCCGGATCAGCCGGGCTGTGGTTCGTACGTTGGACTGCGTGCGGCCAACAGTAAGAGCCTGGTTGATCAGGCCCTGATCCACCGGGAGGCCTGGTCTTGAACCGGGCCGCAGGGGCGCTGATCCCCGGAATACCCTCCAGGTAGCCAAGACTTAGAGAGAAGTTTAGATTGATTCTGGGCTGTGCAGGACGTAATTTACCTGGAAGAAATGGAAAAAAATTGAAATACTGAGCTTCTCAGCTCATTAAGCTTTCCGTGCTAATAACTTGATAATACAACTAAGCTGCTTCAAGCTTAATGTACTTGTGTATTTTAGGATACTGATATTTTTGATCTCTGGATTGTATCAGATTCCAGCTGTGTATAGTTTAATATATATCTTGAAGAAATTCGGATATCAGTTTCTAAATGATTTATGGATGGCTCTTTTAAGTCTCTCTATATCTTCTTCACTTACCAGACTGAGGTTCGAGCTTTTAATATTCGTTACAGTAAATGACCCCACACGGTTTAGAGCTTCAATTACAATTAATACAAAAATATTAATCTCATCACAATCCCCCATGAAGAGCTTCCAGTGAACGTGAAAAGCTCACTTGCAGAGTACAAATATTCCTTATATCTTTATCAGTGTACTAGAGCTATTCTTCTATTCCTCGGATCAAACCTGATTACACGATTCTAATACAAAAATAGTTACGCATCGTAACTGAAGGAATCTTTGGGACTGTGAAATGAATAAATGTTAGAGTGATGCTATTTATTTTAGGTTCGTGTTGTGGTGATAATGTTTCCTGGTGTGATAGAGTCAGTGTTTTCCTTGCTTTTATTTTGTAGGATAATTTTATCTTTGTGTTTACTTGGAGTTTACCTGGAGAGGGTTTCGGGGGTCAACGCCCCCGCGGCCCGGTCTAACACCAGGCCTCATGGTGGATTAGGGTCTGATCAACCAGGCTGGCCGCATTCACACTGACGTACAAACCACAGCCCGATTGGTCAGGTATTGTATGAAGTCTGCATGACAAAATATCATATTCAGGAGTAACCTTTCAACCCGTAACACGTAAACAATCTGGAATACACAATATTAAAGCATTCCTCCTCCCCTTTCCCATGGATCAAAAACCCTTAACTAGCATCAAAGACCATCACTTAAACAATCTGGAATACACAATATTAAAGCATTCCTCCTCCCCTTTCCCATGGATCAAAATCCCTATTCTTGTAGGAACGACAGCGCTGCACCACCTCAGAGTAAAGTCCATCGCTAATCTCACGAACTTCCTTGCAGGTTCGTGTGTGGATTTCTTCTCGGGTGGAGGTGGCTGGTGGTACAATTATTGTTCCCACCTCAAGCCCACGGCTCCCCTAGCTGCTGCTGGTCGCAGTGACACCCTCATGACAGCCTACTGGACGCCAGGTGTCCTCACCTGGGTCAGGCTCAACTGGATTCGCATGAAAATCAGGCCCAGAGATTTCCCAGACTGTGAGAATTGATGCGTTGAATTGTTTCACGGTTGATCTAGGGTACTAGTTAATTTGGAGTACTAGTTCTAGTACTGAAGACGTCCTAGATTGATAATCTGAGTTAATGAGATGAAAAGGCCTAGATTAATCAACGAGTTAATGGGACAAAGAAGTCCTAGGTAAATGTATGATGTCCTGGGTAAATCTGCATAAAACTTTAGAAAGAACAGACCTAATGTTTATAGAAGATACAAGCTAAGATACAGGCTAAGATAAAAGCTAAGATACAGGCTAAGATACAAGCTAAGATACAAGCTAAGATACAAGATAAGATACAAGATAAGATACAAGATAAGATACAAGATAAGATACAGGATAAGATACAAGATACAAGCTAAGATACAGGCTAGGATACAAGCTAAGATACAATATACAAGCTAAGATACAGGCTAAGATACAAGCTAAGATACAACATACAGGCTAAGATACAGGCTAAGATACAAGCTAAGATACAAGATACAAGCTAAGATACAGGCTAGGATACAAGCTAAGATACAAGATACAGGCTGAGATACAAGCTAAGATACAAGATGAGATACAGGATACAAGCTAAGATACAGGCTAGGATACAAGCTAGGATACAAGCTAAGATACAAGATAAGATACAAGATAAAGCTAAGATACAGGCTAGGATACAAGCTAAGATACAAGCTAATGGGGTGAATGGATCCAGGCTTTACGTAGGATAAGAGTTCATGGGATGACTTGTTGACTTGTGACTTAATTTGTATCAATGATTATAATCATAACCAAGCGCTAAACCCGTAAGATAACTTGTATCAAGGAGGCTGGAGAAGTGGCAAAGGAGGGACCGGGAGATGACAAATTCACGTGGGAATAAATTTTGCAGATGATGCATCAGTCTGTAAATAATATACTTGGAACAGCATCTTTCATGCAACGTTAGTATAAGGCGGGTGTATGGCAGGGCGTAGCGTGAGTGTACTCACCTGTATGGAAGCTGCAGGGGTCGAGTCATAGCTCCTGGCTGTGTGTGTGTGTGTGTGTGTGTGTGTGTGTGTGTGTGTGTGTGTGTGTGTATCTCTGTCTGTATTCACCTAATTTTTTGGTTGCAGGGGTCGAGTCATAGCTCCTGGCTGTGTGTGTGTGAGTGTGTGTGTGTGTGTGTGTGTGTGTGGTGTGTGTGTTGTGTGTGTGTGTGTGTGTGGTGTGTGTGTGTGTGTGTGTGTGGTGTGTGTGATCTCTGTCTGTATTCACCTAATTTTTTGGTTGCAGGGGTCGAGTCATACTCCTGGCTGTGTGTGTGTGTGTGTGTGTGTGTGTGTGTGTGTGTGTGTGGTGTGTGTGTGTGTGTGGTGTGTGGTGGTGTGTGTGTGTGTGAGAGAGAGACTTTGAAAGAGGGACGCATAGAATTACGTTTTTTAGTGACGATTCGATTGGAGATTATCAATTACTGTAATTAATTACTATAATTATTCTAAAATATCATAATAACATGCTAGAAATGTGGGCGCCATCTTACCAAGTATACACATTATATATATCAATTTCTTCAAGTGTAAATATGTAGTAAAGAATTTAGTACACTTCGCTCTGTTTTATTTCTCCTTTAATTTTGATACAATAGTTAGAAGCAGAGGTAGCGTCCTATACGATGAAATTATTCATGTAGCTCTGTGTTTGTGACTGTGTGTGTTTGTGTCTGCTTGAGGGTGTGTTTGTGACTGTGTGTGTTTGTGTCTGCTTGAGGTGTGTTTTGTGACTGTGTGTTTGTGTCTGGTTGAGGGTGTGTTTGTGACTGTTTGTTTGTGTCTGCTTGAGGTGTGTTTGTGACTGTTTGTTTGTGTCTGCCTGAGGGTGTGGTGTGCTTTGAGGTGTGTCTGCTTGAGGTGTGTGTTTGTGACTGCTTGAGGGTGTGTGTGTCTGTCTGAGGGTGTGTGTGTGACTGCTTGAGGGTGTGTGTCTGAGGGTGTGTGTGTGACTGCTTGAGAGTGTGTGTTTGTCTGCCCGAGGGTGTGTGTGTTTGTGTCTGCCTGAGGGTGTGTGTGTGTCTGCGTGAGGGTGTGTGTCTGCTTGAGGGTATGTTCGTAACTGTTTGAGGGTGTGTGTGTCTGTCTGAGGGTGTGTGTTTTTCTGTCTGCTTGAGGGTGTATTTGTGATTGCTTGAGGATGTGTGTGTTTGTTTCTACCTGAGGGTGTGTGTGTTTGTGTCTGCTTGAGGGTGTGTTTGTGACTGCCTTGTCTCTTCCCATCTTTCCTGAGTAAACTTAAACAGCTACGTCTCACAACATTCAGTGAACCTCGAATGCGTAAGAATCAAACCAATACCTTTTAATATCTAAAACCTCAATATTTTAAACTCAGAATAAATCACAGTATCTTGGCTGAAACAAATCACAGCTGACGAATAATTCAAAGGGAAAGTTTTAGACGTCAAACGGAAATAACTTCTGTTTTGTTTGCATGTTGTTGGTCAGTTGTGAATGCCCGAAGCCTCAGGACGGGGGAAAATATGGATATCAGTCCCAGATCACATATTCAAACAATAAAATAATAATATGCAATATTGGCAAGTTATAAAATAAGTTTTTAAAGACATGGATGGGAACATATATCAAAACTCCAGTTAATATGTAACTCTACATTTCCACCTTGGAATGTATCTCTCTCGATGTGTATATAATGAGAACAGCAGTGTATACATATACATTAAGGGTGTACATCTCAGCACATATACATTTAGAGTTTGCCTTAATTCATATAATAGGGATTATTTAAAACCCTTGACTTATAAACGTCATGTGTAACGTTTACGACCCTCGTGTAGTAGATAACATTCTTGATTGTAAAGGTCATGTGTAGTTATTACGACCCTCGTGTAGTAGATAACATTCTTGATTGTAAAGGTCATGTGTAGTTATTACGACCCTCGTGTAGTAGATAACATTCTTGATTGTAAAGGTCATGTGTAGTTATTACGACCCTCGTGTAGTAGATAACATTCTTGATTGTAAAGGTCATGTGTAGTTTTTACGACCCTCGTGTAGTAGATAACATTCTTGATTGTAAAGGTCATGTGTATTTTATTACGACCCTCGTGTAGTAGATAACATTCTTGATTGTAAAGGTCATGTGTAGTTATTACGACCCTCGTGTAGTAGATAACATTCTTGATTGTAAGGTCATGTGTAGTTATTACGACCCTCGTGTAGTAGATAACATTCTTGAATGTAAAGGTCATGTGTAGTTTTTACGACCCTCTTTGTAGTAGATAACATTCTTGATTGTAAAGGTCATGTGTAGTTATTACGACCCTCGTGTAGTAGATAACATTCTTGATTGTAAAGGTCATGTGTAGTTATTACGACCCTCGTGTAGTAGATAACATTCTTGATTGTAAAGGTCATGTGTAGTTATTACGACCCTCGTGTAGTAGATAACATTCTTGATTGTAAAGGTCATGTGTAGTTATTACGACCCTCGTGTGGTAGATAACATTCTTGATTGTAAAGGTCATGTGTAGTTATTACGACCCTCGTGTGGTAGATAACATTCTTGATTGTAAAGGTCATGTGTAGTTATTACGACCCTCGTGTAGTAGATAACATTCTTGATTGTAAAGGTCATGTGTAGTTATTACGACCCTCGTGTAGTAGATAACATTCTTGATTGTAAAGGTCATGTGTAGTTATTACGACCCTCGTGTGGTAGATAACATTCTTGATTGTAAAGGTCATGTGTAGTTATTACGACCCTCGTGTGGTAGATAACCTTAAAAAATATAAAACTGAAATATGCTGTATTTGCATAGTTTTTATAGACATTGTATATACTTCACGGATTTAGTCCTCAAACATATATGTAAAAACAAGGAAATATCGTTTTTAAAAGCAAAAATGAATGTAGATCACTGACAAAAATCCAGAAACACTATAAAAACATGTCCCAGATCTGAGGAAGATGATGTAAGAAGATTGAACATCCAGAAAATGATTTACTCAGCTGACAGGAGGAAATACGAAGAGATGATAATTACATTCAAGATAATGTGAAGATACAAGGAAAAAAGATAGAGCTTTTGCAGCGCACTTAACGAGAGGAAAATGTGGTAACAATTGTAAGCCAAAGCTGATGATTATTTGTTCACAAATTGATATATATTGTTACATGTGTTACTGTCACTTACAACTTATAAGAAAATAATTGACTAGGCATTAAAGACTGGGAACACTTAGTGAAGTTCCGTTGATGTAACTACAAACACTGAAGACTGAACACCACCAACATAACTTTCCTCATTATAAATATATATATAAATATAAATATAAATATATATATATATATATATTTATATATATATATATATATATATATATATATATATTATATATGCAATAAGATCACAGTAAACAGGTGATATCAAAAATATGCAAAACAACCACTCTGAAAGAATAGAGAAATTCCAAGCGCTTTCGTGACTACTCACATTATCAAGGAACTTGATAATGTGAGTAGTCACGAAAGCGCTTGGAATTTCTCTATTCTTTCAGAGTGGTTGTTTTGCATTATATATATATATATATTATATATATATATTTTATATATATATATATATTATATATAGTGTTTATTTTCATTATTTTTACCATTTTTTCGTTTATTTTAGTCAGAATATTAACTAGTTATTTAAATAAAATATTTACTTATGCATATCGGTTTTATTGCTGAAGATTATGATAAAAGAGCAGAATAAGGAGAGGAAAAAATAAGAAATTAAACAATAATTACAAAAAAAAAAAAAAATACAAGTACAAAGAAATAAGTGATAAGAATGAAATGAATAAAAAAATTACCAAAAATGAGAAAAAATTAAATGCTAAAGTTTCGAGGGAATATGTACACACCTGATGATGTCTGGATACTTACATGAAAGTCCTCAATGTTTCTTTTACATGTATACATACAAGCATAATATATATATATATATATATATTATATATATATATATATATATATATATATATATATATATATATATATATATATATATATTCACGCATACACATACATAGTACTTGCGACCAGCGAAGAGGTGGACCAGGAGCTGTAAATCGAACCCCCAGATCACAAGTACGTAAGTACATATGCAAAGTTTGGCTCGAAAGAGTATCATTCGATTGTGATTGAGAAAAATGCAATTATTATTAAAGTATAAATAGCAAATATGATTTAAAAAGGGGAAAAAATAGGGAATACGAGAAGCAATGAAGGTTGGAATTAGTCTCTAGCAAATCCAAGTAATGTCTGCATGTTCCTACGTCCAGGTTAAACTAGTACCATTCTCATGTTCCTAAGTCCAGGTTAAACTAGTACCATTCTCATGTTCCTAAGTCCAGGTTAAACTAGTACCATTCTCATGTTCCTACGTCCAGGTTAAACTAGTACCATTCTCATGTTCCTACGTCCAGGTTAAACTAGTACCATTCTCATGTTCCTACGTCCATGTTAAACTAGTACCATTCTCATGTTCCTACGTCCATGTTAAACTAGTACCATTCTCATGTTCCTACGTCCAGGTTAAACTAGTACCATTCTCATGTTCCTACGTCCAGGTTAAACTAGTACCATTCTCATGTTCCTACGTCCAGGTTAAACTAGTACCATTCTCATGTTCCTACGTCCAGGTTAAACTAGTGCCATCCTCAAGTTTTTATGTCTTTGTTGAGGTAGTTCCTTTCTGATGTTTCTATGTCCTTACATGAAGTACACGTCATCATGTTCTTTTGCCCATGAAAGCCTAAGGCATCCATAATACTTTAATTGATTTACATAAAAGACATACATTGTTTTGATAGACTTAACCTGGTGTCCCGTCTTCAACTTCTCGCAGGAAAACATTGAAATGAAGATAATGCATATTTTGGATATGCTATTTCCTTTATTTTGCACCTAAACATGGCAACCTAACCTAAAGAATAAAAGGCACAATACCGTGACTGGAACACACAAATAACCCGCAAGTAGGAGAAAGAAACTTATGGCGGCGTTTCGGTCCTCTTTGGACCAATAACTACTCACTAGCGTGACTATTTAATGGTCCAATTCGGACTGAAACGACTTGGAGGGCCGTGTATAACCTAACCTAACCTTGGTACACTTTAT